GGATTTATTTTTCCTACAAACACACAAATGTACAAAAATAAGAAGGGAAGACCTGTGCTGGTATAATGCTGTGCTTGGGAGACAAGCTCCCAAATAAAAAAATATATTTATTTTTGCTACAGCTTACAAACACACAAATGTACAAAAATAAGGGTATAATGCTGTGCTTGGGAGACAAGCTCTCAAATTAAAAAATTTATTTATTTTTCCTACAAACACACAAATGTACAAAAATAACCAAGGAAGATGGCTACCTGTGCTGGTTAATTTATTTATTTTTCCTACAGCTTCCAAACACACAAATGTACAGAAACAAACAAGGAAGACAGGTACCTGTGCTGGTTTGATGCTGTGCTGGGGAGACAAGCTCTCAAATTAAAAAATGGATTTATTTTTCCTACAGACACACAAATGTACAAAAATAAGAAGGGAAGACCTGGGCTGGTTTGATGCTGTGCTTGGGGGACAAGCTCCCAAATCAAAAAATGGATTTATTTTTCCTACAAACACACAAATGTACAAAAATAAGAAGGGAAGACAGGTACAAGACAGGTACCTGGGCTGGTTTGATGCTGTGCTTGGGAGACAGGCTCCCAAATTTAAAAATGGATTTATTTTTCCTACAAACACACAAATGTACAAAAATAAACAAGGAAGATGGGTACTGGTTTGATGCTGTGCTTGGGAGACAAGCTCCCAAATTTAAAAATGGATTTATTTTTCCTACAAACACACAAATGTACAAAAATAAGAAGGGAAGAGGGGTACCTGTGCTGGTTTGATGCTGTGCTTGGGGGACAGGCTGCCGATGCTGTTCAGGCTGGTGCCGCTGCCGTGGGACGGGGTGGAACGCAGGCTGTCCTTTGGGGGAGGGCTCGCAGGGAGAACAGGGACTGCTCCAGGGAAGACTGAGCTCTTCTTTCTTTTCGAAGGTGGTATGAGAGAAGGGGGCAATTGGGAAGGAACTGACTCTTTCTCAAGAGCTCTATAAACCAAATGCATTGCCTGCAAAGGCAAAAAGGTCAGATAACATTCACAGTTATTAGAAAAAGCAACAAGGTTTTCCTGCGTCAGTCATTTACATATTAGTAAAACAAAGACAGTAAGACTAGAAATGTAAACCAGAGCAATTAATTTTGAATGTAATTCCAACAAGTTTAATCTGGACACAGGCAACAGTCAATGGGTGGACTTGAGGAAGGTCATTAAACGGCTCCATGTGAACAATTTAGATTAGAACAGTTGCCTGTAGCACAGAAAGCTGCAAAGCTCTTGAGAAAGAAATGAGTTATTTGCTTCAACACACCAGACAGTGAATTGAGAATTTAAAGCAACCTACCACAGCAAATTCATCCTTGTCCAGGTGACCATCTTTATCAATGTCACTGAGATCCCAGACCTACAGCAATTAAGATTAAAAAATGATTTGCAGACCAAGTTACACTTTATGTATTCATTGTATCAACATGCCCTCTAAAGACTCCTCAGAGATTTTGGTGAAGATCATATTAATTATACCACCTATCCAAAAATTCTCTGATGAAACAGACTGGATTAGAGTTTTCTGGCCACATGAATCAAAACTGGCTCTAACAAATTCTGGCTGCAACTCAGGCAGGTTTTTCATCATTCTATGATGCAATTACAGAGTCATCAAGCAGAGTCAAAGCACTCAGAGGTGGCTTTCAGAACTGCCCACAGGGTGTGGGCTAGCAGATCATTCAAATTCCTAGCAAGAAAATTCAACAGAAAATTCAATTCATCTCTAATTCCTATTCCATTTCCAGATGATTAGGGTTTTCTGCTAAAAACTAAAACTATGTGCAACTCCCTCTGCCCCCCTGAATTTCCTGTTGGAGAGAATTTAAGCATTTATCAATGCTTAATTTAGTTCATTATCAGGTGAGGCACAGTCAATGAAACTTGCAGGAGATTTAGAGAGATCCAAAACTCTGTGAACTCCAGCACAGCACTGTTTAATCTTCAATATGACCTGGGGACAGTGGAGTCCTCAAAAAGCCAAAACTTGAGGCTCAGTTGTGAAAACTCTGCTTTATCATTGGACCCTTGACAAATTTAAGCTCCTTGATTAGTCCTTGGTCCATTTTCTCAGTGCCTTATCTTGTCCACAGATTTTTCTGGAAGAGGCAAAAGCTTCCTGAATTTCCATTGTGACAGTAACAAGATAAAATCCAAAGCCTTTCAAGACTTCTCAATACTCAAGTACAGAATTAAAACAAATCATACTTGGATTTTGTAGATAATACAGAGCAAAAGGCACTTCTTCCTGAAGAGATAAAAGTATGTAATGCAGGTAGAACTCTGACACAGATTGTACTCAAAAATATCAATTTGCAAAGCATTAAAGAATGTGGTTTTAATGGAGGCAGAAAAATATTTTAAGGTCTGCTTCCCTTGTAAATATACAATGGATGGACAAAACTCAGACCTTGAAAGTATTTATAAATAAACATGAAAGAAAAACCAACCTGACAATTTGCACTATGAATAAAGGAGGATGTTTTAAGGAATTTTCCTGTACAAACAGAGGATGGATTTAATGGTATATCTAATAACTCATATTTGTTAAAATGACAAAACAGCAGAATCTAATGTCCTAACAGCTATTATGATTCAGGAAAGCTTTTTCTTGTTTTTAAACAACCAAAATCAAATTTCCACTTGCAAATGAACAGAGAGACAATGAAGTCAATCTACTCTAGGGTTGAAATTACAACTCTTACTCTTATTTCTAAGTGGAAGACTTCAGAGTCTTAATGTTCCTGCTTTATAGCAAGCACATGATGCAAAATCTCAGCCAAAACCTGATCTCTGTTGATAAATTACATTTTCAACATTGCAATTATGAGAAGCTAAACAGAGACTGGCTCAATCTAAACAAATTACTTACCCTTCCAAGGATATCAAGAGGTAGCTTTGAATTCATCAGTACTGGTTTTACTTTGTCTCCTGAAAGTAAACCATTTACTGGCAAAAGGCTTTCAAAAATACCATCAAACTTTGCTTTTTCTTCCACCTAGTTGGTAAGAAATAGTCTGAATAAGTAAAAAAGTGTGTGTGTGTGTGAGGAATGAAAATGAGATCTTGCAAGAAATTAAGACTGGTCAGTAATTCATCTTAAATTCCCAAGCTTTCTTGCAAGTGCCACTGTATTGTATTTAGAGAAAGCTTTGAAATTAGGCTCCTAAATCTAAAGAAGATTTTACCATGCAGCAGACAAGGTGTGCTTCTTTTTTAAAGTAACTTTGATAAACTCTATAGAACTAAAACTTATTCCTCCCACTTTAAAGCACATATAACTACAAGTTTTTTTATTCAATTTCTACCTTTTGGAAATGTTTGGAGTTGAAAATTACCAAAATATAAATATCCCCACATATGCATCCAAAGCTATTTTTTCCAAATTATATCTATTGCTTGTATCATTGAATATTAATTAAAAAGTAGTAACTCAAGCTTTAAATTAACAGTTCAGACTGGATGTGGTGAAACACTTTACTGTGTCCAGTAGGGTTCCTTTATACAAACAAAATGCCTAATTGTAGGATTCTGGAAGAAATCCAAGCAGAAAATTAAAATTCATTTTCTTAAAAACATCCCACCAGAGGTTGTCAAAGGGTTGTTTAATACTTATTGCAAATCTAAAACTACACCTTGGTGTTCTCTATTGTGCACAGGTTTGCACAGAAAGGGAGGACTTCTGAAATGAGAAATGCATTTGATATAAAATTCTCTCACTGGGAAAATTACACACAAGAAAAATATTTAGTTCTAAAAAATGGATGGAATGTGTTTTCTTTTACACTTACCCTAACAGCCCAGTGAGTCTCTGTTGAGGGTGGTGTGATCATTAAAGGACTGCTACTGTCATGCTAAAAATGAGAAAATGGTTTATTTTTATATATATACATTTATATAAATAGATAAACATCCATACTTCTGCCTCTAGTACTTATTAATTGCACTAAGTTGGAGATGGTTATAGACAGGAAGTTTAACTACAATGAGGAAAACAGGCTGCACATGTACCTAAATAGAAATTATAGAATTTTATAGCATTGGAGCACTTGAGTAAGGACATCCAGTGCCCAAACACAGAACCAACACAAACCACAGAGGTCCTGCAGCAGCTGGGGCAGGGCAAAGCTGCAGCAATGCCTTTTACTGCTCATTCCTGTTGAGCCAGCCCCAAAATCATCATTTTTTTTTTGTTTCCTTTTTTTTTAATGAATTAACAGTTTAGCCACAGTTCAGCCACATCAGCTTCCTGACCAAGCTGACCAGACTTAAACTCACTCTGGTTTTGCAGTTCAGGAAGGGGCTGGTTTCTTGTCACTCAGCATGACAGGACATTTATGAAAAATGAGATCATTCCAATGCTCCAAATGAAGCCTTAATCCTCACACAACACATACCTGCATTCAAGTGGATATTACTTACAAATTTAGGAGGTGGCACAGTCAAATTGAGGCTGCTCAGGTTCACATCGTGGCCGTTCTGTGCACACGCCACGAGGCGCAACGCGACGTAGAAACCCTATAAAATATTGTGCTATTAAAAGCCAGTTTCAATCACAAAAAATAACCCCCTTCCCATTTTTAATAACACCTGTATAGGTGCAACTCAGGAAAAAGAAAACCCCACAAGTACAGCCCCATAATGGCAATCACCCCTTTGTTTTTAAGGATGAGTCCGGAAAAATTTTACAGTAACGGGAAATAAAGTTAGTTCTTCATAAAAACTCTCTCCTAATTAAAATACAACAGTTTTTCTTAAAAATTAGTTATGTTTTGAAACAGTTAATTTGTAACTTGTTATTTGGTATTCCAAGCCATTTTTAGTAAAAAATGCTGAATTTTTTGACGCACAAAAATTTTCTAAAATCAAACCTTAGTTTTCATTTGTGACTCGGTGACTGTGTGCCTACACAGTACACACACCAATTATTTACAAAACAAAAGAGATACAGAAAATTAGAACCAAACTTCTCCTGCAGCCTCACTGAGTAATACACTTGGATATGAGCAGGGGAAAAAACTCATCTTATAAATAAAAACTGGGGAGAAAACTCATCTTGTAAATAAAAACTGGGGAGAAAACTCATCTTGTAAACAAAAACTCAACCCTGAAAAAGATAAAGATAACTACTAATGGTACCAGGGCTTGATAGAAACAAGGTTAATCTGGG